ACGGAAAGTGGCCTAGGTACAGTGGATAGGATTATTCGTTAGCACATCATGTTAAGAAAAGAAGACAGACACACTAAGGGAAGAGACTTGGGGTGGGATTGAGGGGCTGTCAGAGTGGGGATTTGCACCCGCTTCCTATGCTTATTGTGTATTGTTCAGAATGTCTGCTCTGTCTGCATGCTACCTCCACCCCCAACCCATGCCTTTAAAGTGTGCCAGAACAACACAAGGAAAAGTAAAACAAAGGAACGTTCTAGAAAAGAGAGGTGGGATTCAAAGCAACCTTAAAGACATCACATTGCAGTGATCCGTGTAGGTATGTTTATAGCAGCACAGCCCATAATAGCTAAATCTTGGACGCAGCCTCTATGTGCATCAGCAGGTGAGTGGGTGAAGGAAATGTGGTGTTAGCACACAGTGGAGCACTATGCTGCCATAAAGAGAGACAGAACTGAGTCACATATAGGGAAGTGGATGCACCTTGAGACTATAATGTTAAGCCAAATAAATCAGATGCACAAGCTCAGATATCACATGGTTTCTCTCACATGAGAAGCCCAAAATAGAAATGAGGAGCAAAATAAAAGATAGATAACAGGAAGTAGGGAGAGAGATATTTCTCAAATGGGAAGGAGAGCAAGAGAGGGAGGGAGGGGGCAGGAGGTGGGAAGAGGATGAGCAAAGAATAAAGATGCGTTACACACACGGCCCCACTCCCCACAAAGAGCGCTATCATTACACACTGCAAACAGGTCCTTGTGAAAAACAAAAAGGATTCAAACAGAAAAAGGAAGGAACCTAAGACTCACTTCCTGTCTTGCTAGGGGACACCCAGCACCTCTGCAACTGTAACAAAGGAGCACATAGCTCTGAGTGAAGGTGCCCCTGTGGACATATATTCTAGAGTCTGATGCTATGCTTGGCAATTTCAGAAATTTGAACTTTAGTTTCTCTTATTGATGGATTGACTAAGTCAGGCTCTCACTATGTATTTTAGGGGGGCCTTGAACTCACTTTGTAGCCCAGGCTGGCCCAGAAGTTGTGGGGATCTTCCTGCCTCAGCCTCATGAATGCTGGGATTACAGGTGTGTGCCACCATGCCTGAAGAGAGGCACTTCTCAGAGGTCAATTGAAGGACTAGTGAACTGACCCCACACCCAGCTATGAAGGGACAGGTGGCTGGCAAGTTTCCACCACCGTCCCTCTCTGGGAGACGGGGGCCCATCTTACAGTGGACCGCATGCCCTGTGCAGGCCTGCCTGCAGTTCCATTAGCAGTGCAATGCTTAACTGCTCCCAGCTGGGATGGCTTGGTGCTGAGGATGTTGATGAGCTTTTTAAAAAAGCCATCTTTGGGGAGAGCTGTGAAGTAGGGGAGAAGTATGATTTCAGCAGTGGCCAGCTAAGGCCTGCTGGTGTAGGAGCATTGTGTTTGGCCAGCACAGCATGACGATTTTTTGTTGTTGTTGTTGTTGAGAGGGAAATTTAAAACGTAAGCCCTGAAGTCAGGCTGCATGGGAGCACCTTGCTGTCTGCCGAGGGATTCCCACGAGGAGTCACGTGGAGCTGCGTGGAGCCAGGAGTGGTTCCAGTCCCCGCAGCCCCCAGGGTCCCAGGGTCCCAAGCCTCAGGCGACATCAGACTCTTCTGGGGCCTCCAGAGAGTAGTGCAGACCCCATTCGCACTGTCATCGTGCTGAATTCTGGTCCTGTGCTTCGCCCTGGTCTATTACAACCAAGGTGATGACCGCTATGCTTCCCGGGACTTATCTGTTTATACTGGAGTTGTGGAAATAGTATCAAAAAACCCACTAGCCGTGGGCACGGTGGCCCACGACTAATCCCAGCCACTTGGGAGACTGAGTAGGAGGATCACGAGTTTGAGACCCGCCTGGGGAACTTAGCAACACTCTGCCTCAACAAGAAGAAGGAGAAGAGAGCGGACCAACCGAGGGTCGCTGTGGATTTAAGGAATACATATATTTATCCTGTCCAGGCCGCAGGACGCCTCCCGTGTCCTGCCCTCCCCTTCCGCTCCCACACTGGAGAGCAACTCAAGCCCTTCACACAGGCTGTACCCCCCGCCCTTGATTGTTTTATTTTTGAGACAGGGTCTTGCTAAGTTGCTCAGGCTGGGCCTGAACTTGTGATCCTGCTGCTCAGACTCCCAGAGCCCTGGGATCGTAGGTGTGCGCTACCGCCATGACGGCGGCTGTGACTGTCTGCGCTGGTCTCCTGAGGCACTTCGCCAGGGGTCAAGGGAAAATACTTCTACTTTCACCCACGACAGTGCTGGCAGAAGCTCTTTGCTTAAGGAGCACTTTTCAATTTAATAAAATTATTATATATATATATATATATATTTTTTTTTTTTTAAGAAAGTAAAACTAGGTAATTTTTCTTTTGAGGAACAAGAGGAAGATTAATTTTAGAAACTTATCAGGTGAAACAGAGACATTCTTCTGTTTTTGAAAAACGATGTCTCCTGGCAGATAAATCATGCCTTGGTCTCTGCCATGCATTACGCCGTGAGGATGAAGCAATTTTTTTTTTTTTTTAAAGAAGGGACCAACGTGATAAATTTGCTAGGAAAGAGTCAAAGCGGGAGAAAAATGAGGGTTTCTATTTCCCCAAAGGTCTGTGGCGTGTTAGGCGTAAATGCACCGCGGTAAAATCCGGGCAGGCACTAGGTCAGGAAGAGCCAGGGAGGCAGGGCATGGGTCACAGTGAACTTCTGTAGTTTCCCTGAGTTCTTGCCTTGAATGCAGCTCCCCCGTGTGGCCGCTGTCCTCCACCTCCCTCATGAAGTTAAAGTCATTGTCTTTCATGCATGAATATCAGGAAATGCAAATTCCTTGCCAAGGTCACACAGCTAGAGGGCGGTAGAGCCAGGACATATGTCAAGGAGAGTTAGACCCCGGTGTTAAGGCACTGCTGTAGCAAGTGAAGAAATGTGTGCCCTCACACAACACAAATACATTCTCTTACAGTTCTGAAGGTCATGTGTCAAACACAGGCCACCTTCTAAAGGCTCTGGGGAGAATCAGCTTCCTTTCATTTGCCAGCACCTGGAAGCTGCCTATGACCCTTGGCTCGTGGCCCCTTCCCTCCTCCACTGTCAGGGTTGGAGTGTAGCATCTTCAAGTCTCTCTCACTCGGTGACACCTGCTCCTAGCACATCTTTTCCTAGTCCGCCCCTCCTGCTGCAGCATTTGGAAAGATGCTTGTGGTTACACTGAATCCACTTGGACAATCCGGGATTATCTCCCTGTCTCAAGACTTAATCCCCCTGCACAGCCTGCTTTTGCCGTGGAAGGCGACACAGGCGCGAGTTCTGGGGATTAGCACATCGCCATCCGGAGGGCGGAGGGATATCGTTACAGACTCTCCACTGTGACGTCCTGTGGTTTCCTAGAGAAATGCGTCCAGCAGTACCTGAACTCTTCCTGGTGGGGATGCTTTTGACAGAAGGAGGCAAAAATTGGTTCTGGAGAGAGATGAGGAAAACGCCCTCTGTGTGTAGAGCACAGACACAGATATTCACAGCAGGAGGCTCTGCGCTGGGCATCACCCGACCGAGCCCTGGGAACCTCCCCGCTGTCCCTTCCGGGCCCTGGCTGCCCGCAACTGGCCCTGCCGCACCTCGGTTCTGCTGAGTGACTCGAGGTCCCTCGCCGTGCACGCGCACCTGCCTAACCCCTACTTTTGCTGCTGAAGAACAGAACGCTCATGAAATGACAGTGGCGTTATCTGCACTGCCACAGAGCGTGGCTTTAGGCTGATCCTTTGCCCTCTGTCTCCTGGGGGAGAATGTGCAAGACTCTTGTAAGAAAGTGAACCCGGAAAGAACTCTCTCCCGAGGCGGCGGGAAGCCTTTTGGGTGTTTCTTCCCTGAATCTGAGGCTTAGGCTTTTTCTCCTCCTGTTAGCTCGCAGGTGAACAAGGTAAGCTGGGCCTGGCATCGCCCCGCCTGTCCGGTGGGAGGTGACTGGGGGGTCTGCAGGGGTGCGGCACCCGCCTGGCTGACGTCTTTCTGACTGGAGGGCCACTGTCTCTTCCTAGGATGACTACTGGGGTCTGACCTGGAGGTGGGTGGCTAGGTTGCGTTTTCTGTGTCTTCCAACCTCTGGATCATCAGAGATTCTACTTCTCCTTTGCAATTTGCCAAAGTCTGCGCGTGGACAGAATGCACGGGGCGCCCTGCACTCAGCAGCAGGGGCGATGAGCTCCAAGATGGTCTGAGTCCCAGATATGCAACAGGTTCACAAAGGGCATATGACCGAGCAGCTGCCACGCAGGGACCCTGACCCAAGTCCGTCTGACTCCAACAGCCAGCCTGTTAGTGCTTTTTACTCTACTGCTGTTATCGCATCAGCTGCAAATTCTCAGTCTCTGGCAGCTGTCCTACACACTCAGAAAAGACCAACCCTGGGGTGGGTTGTATTGTATCCTGGTAAGATGCTGAAGTCCTAAATCCTGCAAATGTGGCCTTCTTGGGAAATAGGGATTTTTAAGAATTATTTATTTATGTATGTACTTTTATGAACGCATGTTCGCAGTACATACTGTTTACATTCCTTGTGTGGAGTTGGTCCATGTTGCTGATGATCAAGTTAAAGTGAGATCATGAGGATGGGCCTTAGCTCCATATAACTGTCTCCGTGTACAAAGGGGGAATTTGGGCACCGAGACAGACACACATCATGTGAAGATACTGTGAAGACACGGGCAGGAGACACCCACAAGCCAGGAGAGTGGTGGGGGAACCGGTCCAGCCCTACCCACACCTTGACTCTGGCCCGCTGACCCTCAGCACCGTAAGACAATACTTCCCTGATATTTAAGCTGCCCCAATTCATGACGCTTTTGGTACAGTGGACCCTGGAAACAAATGCAAGCAGGTGTCCAAAGGGAGCCTGTGGCTTCTTGCTCTATTTTGTGTGCCATAAATGGAATCAAAGGGCCCAAACCCCAGAGGGGTGTCACCCTACGCCACACTGACCTTCGTCATAGTGCTGAATGGTGCGGGTCGATATGATCACCGGCGTCCCGTTCTGAGCACACTCACTGTCGACCGTCACCTGCAACACAACAGGTGCCATTGTTGGCCAAGTCTTTGGGCAACAAGAGAACTCAAGGAAGAAGGTACCAGGCAACCCCACAACAAACCTAAAGGCTGTTCCTCATAAACCCTTGAGCCCTTCAGCAGTGCCCTTGGTTTCCTGTTCCCCACAGTTACACCTTCCTGCTATTCTCCTTTTCCTATTGGCTGACTCCCGGAGGCCCAATGTAACCAACTGAGCTGGACTTGGGATCATTCAGGGAGCTCGAGACATGACTCATGCCCACCCACAACCCGAGATTTGTGACTGCAGCTGCTCCCGGCGGGGCCCAGCCCCAGGTTCCAAAGCATCCCAGGTGATGCCAATGTGCATTTTGGGCTCAGGTCTGTACAGTCAGCATCTATGTTTCTAAGCCATTTCTTCAAATGCATCGTTCTGTTCTGCACAGAAATTCCCTTTGATGTGTGATCAATACTGGCTCATAGCTATCTCTCCTGTAGGGATTTCCATATTGAGCAATGCTCCAAGACTTAAGCTGAATTGATATAAAAAGCCCTTATGGGGGCTGGGGATTTAGCTCAGCGGCAAAAGCGCCTGCCTGGCAAGCGCAAGGTCGTGAGTTCGGTTCCCGGTATCGGAGAAAAAAAAAAAAAAAAAAAAAAAAGCCCTGATGGTAAAGATTCAGGCTTTCTGCTTTTCAGATGTAGAAGATCCAAAAAGAAGCGTGCGGGTTTTTGGGCCTCCGTTCTTGAGAGCAGGCTTCTCAGGTGCTCCCTAAGCACTGTCCTTGACCTTGGCTGCCCCTCCTCACGGCGAGAAGCTTTGGCGAGCTCAGCCCGCCTCCGTCCCGTGAAGTCTCGGTTTGTTTGGTCTGGAGGGCAGCTCAGGCATTTGAAGTTTTGAAAGTTTCCTAATGTGCAGCCAAGATCTCAAACTCCTGATCTCGACCCGAGGTTTTCATCCTGGGGTTCTCATCCAGCAATGGACATTCTGGGCTAGATCATTCTTGGGCATGGGGGCACCGACCTGTGCATTGTTGAGTGTACAACAGCAGCCCTGGCCCCTTTGTCCTAGGTGCCGGAAGTTGGGACTTGCAAAAATATATCCAGCCGTGGCCCTGCGTTCGCCTCTAGGGGGAGCAGTTGAGCACTGGGGGGTGGGGTCAGGACACACCTGGGAGCAGGTACCAGACTGGCTTCCTAGGCATTGCCTGTGGAGGTTCTCAGACACAGGCTCTCTAGGAATCCTGCTCTGCAATTCCCGCTTCACCCTTAAGTTCTTAAGTGGCACCTCAGAACCTGCCTTTTAGCCCGTGTCACGGTGGACACCAGAGATCCAACCACAGTGGAACAGCGGTGAGGGCAGCACCAGCACCACCCCCAAGCCCACCCGCGGGACAGGCACTGGGCGGCCCTCTCGTGCTCTTCCTGGTCTCACTGCCAGTAGCAATGCCCCGGGGACGCCCACTGCACTACCTTGTAGGTGCCTGCGTCCCACTCGCGCTCTTCCTCTTCAGCTCTCTGCGGAACGCTCAGCTGGTTACCCATTGTTCCTGCGATGGAGAAAGAAAGTGAGGGGGAGAGAAAGGAATCAGAACTAAGACCGAACCGGAAGTCTTACACCCACACGCGAAGCTAAGGTACAGAGAGACCTGGCAAGGCTCTCGCGGGTGTTACTGTTACCAGCCCAGGCCAGCACAACTTGCTTACGTGTGTTTTGGCAAAAGAGAGGAGAGTTTGAACCCTTGTATGCGACGGGACGAAAGTCAAATGCAGCCTTAATTTCAATTGCATTTCATTGCTGGGGACGGACAGGCAGTTATTGTCCTGAGAGGTACACTGAGGATAATGAAGTTTTCTTCCCTTTTAGCTGGAGTCACAGCTATCGTGTCAAAGACCTAAGCATGAAAGTCATTGAAATGATACTTATACTTTTTAGCTGCCTCTGACCCTCAAGCTGAATTAATTCCTGCCCCAAATCCTCCTGTACCGGCGTTTATTCCCTTCATAGCTGTCTTTGTGAGAGGTGATTGGCATCTCCACGCTTCACAAGATGGCAACAGGGATCAATGAATCAGGCTTCTCGTGAGGTCAGAACGGCGCCTGCCTCTTCACAAACAGTGCGTGTGCTTATGAAGCCAAACTACATAGGATTCCGGGCTCTGGGTAAATGTGAATCTCCGGGCTCTGGGTAAATGTGAATCGATAGCTTCCTGCTATGGGGCAGGGGCAGCGTTGAGTCGTATGGCTCAGGGTGGCCCCTGGTGTGGTCCCTGCCCCAGAGGGATAAACAGAATGGTTATGTCTCCTTGCTCAGAACACCGTGAGCGCCGCCAGGTCAATGCCAACTTTGCATGTGCTGTTTCGTTAGCAGAGCGTTAGGAGCTCGGGGGTTGTGTTCGAGTTGCAGGAAGGGAAGAGCCGCTACCCTCTCGATAAAGCTCTCAAGAGCCTTGTGACGGTGATGACCGCGGGGACAGGCAGTGCCTTTGTAATTCCGAGCGCTTCGCCTGCATCGGCTGCCGGCTTGGTCCCGCTGAGCAGCATATTCTCAGCTTCTCCTTCGCCCCAAAGGGAGGCTGAGGCTCAGGAGCTTCAGTGACCTTGGAGATGAAGCGCTGTGTGGCCTTCCCCGGGTGCTTGAGCATCAGCTCCCCCGAAGGCGGGAACCGAGCCTCCGCAGGTCACCCGGAGGCACGTATCCGCAGCGTGGCCCAGTGAGGACTCGGCCTGCGTTTGTCTGAGTCCAGAACCGCCGCCCTTTCCCCACTCCACAGGCCGCCATCTTGGTGCCTAAGGCTCCTTCTCACACGTGCAGTAGTTTCCAGTGTGGTCCTTTTCTTCTTTTTTTTGTCTTTTTGAGACAGGGTCTTGCTATGTAGTGCAGGCTGGCCTTGAGCTCACTTTGTAGCCCAGGCTGGCCTCGAACTCACAAAGATCCTCCTACCTCAGCCTCCCAGGCACTGGGATTACGGGATGCGCCACCACCTTCTCTGAACCCCCACCTGCCAGCCGGTGTGCTTCTGTGGGCTTCAGAACAAAAACCAGGACCGTGGGTCTATGCCTGAAAGCTGATGTGTGTGTGAGGATTCCTGTCGCCTTGCACCCTGGGTATACATTTCTGTTCCCCTGTAATAGCTGTGAGTAACTGGGAATTAGAGAGGCCAAGAAAGGCCGTGAGTCCTACCACCTACCCTCAGGGGAATTTGGCACATAACCGAATCTGGGGGCTTTACGTATTTTCTAATCATAACCCGTGATACAGCTGAGCGCCGCTAAAACCTATGCGAAGCTTGTTATTTTGCAAGGTCTTCTATTTATAAAATCCATGATCTGCATTCTTACAGTAGGTTTTCACTTTCCATCTACGCGTGGGGCATTCTGAATATACGGCTGTGTCTTTGAGACCAAGGGCAGTAAATAAAAGCAGTGGCCAAGTTCAGCTTGCTCTTGGATCCAGGATCACCAGTGAGCTAAGGAGGGGCTTCACATTCACAAATGGTCCAAAGAAATCAGAAGAAAAATCATAAAACATGACACATGAAAATTGTATGGAAGTCAGATTTCAACATTCATAAATAAAGTACTGGAAGACAGCTGTGCTTGCTCATCTATCTATCTGTCTATCTATCTATCTATGAGTCTATCTATGTGTCTATCTATCTATCTATCTATCTATCTATCTGTGTATCTATGTGTCTATCTATGTGTCTATCTATCTATCTATCTATCATCTATCTATCTATGTGGTATTGGTGTTGGACCCAGGGAACCCTAAGCTATATACCCAACATTTTAAATTTATTTATTATTTTTTCTTTTTCTTTTGGCACTGGAAATCACACTCAAGATTTCACCCTTACTAAGCAGGCGCCTCGCCGCTGAGCTAAATCCCTGGCCCCTTATTGTTATTATTTTTTGAATGTTGTGACACAGCTTGTTAAGTTGCCCAGGCTGGCCTTGAACTTGTGATCCTCCTGCCTCGGCCTCTGGAGTATCAGGGACAACAGGCATGTGCCACCATACCTGCTGCCAATGCCAATGGGCTTATGTATTTTTTTGGTCTATAGATGCTGTCCTACAGTCCTGACAGAGTGAAGCCTCTGTGACAGCGTGCTTGCAGAATGGGAGGTTTGTAAAACCTGAGATATTTTCTACCTGAGACTCTACAGGAGTTATTGACCCTGCTCAGGATAACCCTGGGTAACATGTACCCATTTCACAAATAAGAGGGTTGAGCCATTTGAGGGATTAAGGGCTGCTGCTAGCATGACTGACCAGGATTTGAACCTACTGTGTATAAGAATACTGACAACAATTTTAATAAGCACAGTTGTAAAGTAATAATAGTAACATTTGCTGAGTGCTTACTATGTGCTGAGCATCACCTGAGTATAATTAATGTACTTCTTGTAACAAATCAGCAAGGCAGTGCTATCACCCCAAATTTTCAGGTGAGGAAACTGAGTCAGGCAGGTCAGATGGCTTGGCCAAGGTCATATATAAACATGAGTGTGTATGTTGACATAAAACAGTAATGTTTACACATGCACAGGGATGATGTTTCTATCTAAATTTAGCTCCTAACAGGTTAAAATATTTGAAGTTCCTGAAAGGGAAAAACTTAGAGAAAGAGAGAGACAATTGAGTACAAGAGAAATTGTTTTTTCTAAAACTTTGTTCTTTTGAAACTACCTAGCTTTGTAACTGCTTCATGGCTTTGTAATTACTTTCTTGACCCCTGTCACCACAAAAGCATAACCAAACATGCAGAATGCCTGATTGTACCATTGTACCAAGCTTCACAAATTGATGATCATTAATGTACCCTTGTAACCGATGATCTCAGTCTGCTAGCTAATCAGAAGAACTGCCAGGCTGTTCTGTCTTGCCTTTGTACCTCCTGCTTGTGCATCATATAAAAGCCCTAGACAACCGGAGATCGGGGTCTGATGCTCTGGGAACAATCTCGATCAGTGTCTGTCGACATAAATAAATCTGCCTCTAAATCCTGGATGTCATTTTGGTGTTTCTGCTTGCTGTTGCAATCCCATTACTCAATTTTAATTGGATTCTATTTGGGGGACACAGCCAATGAATGCATGAGGTTGTGAAATATCTTGGGGCTGTGCTCCGTGTGCAGCAGGAGATAAACTTTTCTATCCCACAAATTAGGGGTTACAGGCTGCTAATCAGTGCACGTTTTAAGTGGCCTCTCAACAAACTCAGGGCCAAAGGGCTGAAAAAGGGAAAATCCAGCCGTAAGTCCTTTGCAGCAGCCACCTCGAATCCTGTAATACTGCTTTTCACAACCAATTATAACGTACTTCTGATGCTGTCCCTGCCATTCTTCGAATTGTTTTAAAGACCAGATTTACACGGGACAAAAGCGAAAGGTTACTGCCACCTATCGGCAGGTGTAAGTATAACACGGGAAAGGTAAAGGGGAGCCGCTGATGGTTGTCAAGGAAACCTCCTAACAGCTGGCAAGAGCACAGCGAGTCCTCCCGCGCCCAAGCAGTGCTGCCACTAAGACAGCAATAAGATAAGCTTAGCCGACAGGTGTGGCGAGCGCACCACTAGCCAGCCAGTGCCAGCTGTCTGAACGGAGTGCGCAGCAGCGCAGGGATGAGAACGTAGACTCTGGAGTTGGGGACTTCTGCTCGCCACCTATTGAAAAGTGTGGCCCTGCATGAGTTTCTGAGCCTCCCGGAGCCTCAGTTTCCTCATCTGTAAAGTGGGGATCACAGCAGGCTCCATCTCAAGGGTTGTAGTTGAGTTCACGTATTAAATGAGTTCATGTATCTAAGGTGCTCCAAACAGGCCCTGGCCTACGCTAAGATCCATGCAGGTGCTGGCGTGACTAGGATTATCATTTATGATCATTGCTATTCTCATTTTTTTTTTTTTTTTTTTGGTTTCTCTCCGGTACCGGGAACCGAACTCATGACCTTGCGCTTGCCAGGCAGGCGCTTTGCCGCTGAGCTAAATCCCCAGCCCCGATCATTGCTATTCTCAGTCAATTTCCTCCAACGTAGTTTGGTCGGGAGAATCCACTGAAGAATCTAGCAGTCTGATTCCCACCATCCTCTCACCAGAAAGTCAGGTTGGGGCCCTGGAATCTGTATTTTCACCAAATGATGCTCACGGTCAGCATGGGGGATCATCTCCCAGGTTGTCCCAGGGGTGAGAGAGCTCTGGGATCTGGGACTCTCATGTTAAAACCACAAAGTCCTGGGCAAACCCGAGTGGTTGGTGCTTGATAAGCCACTCGAGGACTCAGAGGACTCTTCTTACGCTGTCTTAAAACTGGGGAAACTGAGGCACGTGGCAGTTCAGACAATGATTTCTGTCTGTGGTGACGTTTTCATCAGAGCCTCCCAAATGGGAAAAGTAAATAAGATAGGGAGTTTTTCCATGATAAACCTCTTCAATTGAGAGAGCCAACTTTCATTTTGAAAAACAAAGTTTGAATCTGATGTTAAAATGCCCTTTTTTCCCCCTAAACCAAGGGTATTAATTGGTCTGTTCTTGTGATTATTGGACCTGAAGC